TGGTACCGTATTTATGGAAAACTAGCATTTATAGTTGAACATAATTTAATGTAAGTAATCAGAGTTAATCAGTATGTTTGTAAATGTTTACAGGGACTCTAGGGTTGCCTGAGCTTATCTAAACATTGCTAAAGCACAGAAAGCTAAACCCATCACTGATATATTAGACAACCACTAGAGGGAGAATATAAAAAAACTATCTATTTAAAGTAATATTAACCCCTTCATGACTGAGCTTGTTTTTGGTTTCTGTTCGTAAATGACTGACACACTTTTGACATTTTTGCTGTGTGATTCTTCCACGTCAGTAATATACTTTCTTACAAAGTGCACCCACACATATTATATATTGTTTTTTAGAGGACAGATAGGGCTATATATTTATATCACATATGTGTGTCTAACGCCTCACTTAGCACAAATACAAATAAAAAAAAGAGGAAAAAACGTAAAAAAAAACTTTTTTTCCCAGTTTTGATTTGTAGTATTTTTTTTTAACAAAACCAGCACAGCTAAAAAAAAATGCAATACATACATACATTCATTTATTTGTCCCTTATTTTTAATTTTTTTACACTTTTCACTATTTTTTTTAATTTATTTACACTTTTCACTTTTTTTATACTGACAAATTTTATTTATTTAATTATATCAGGCAGTCATTGTGAATTAATCTCACTATTACTGCTTGATAAATTAATAAATTTTTTTATTATTTATTTTTTTATTATCAGGCTGCTTCAAACTTCAGAACAGCCGATAATAAGTTAGTGACACTGATCCTGCAGCAGTTCAGGATTCAGCTGTCAGTGAATGTTTCAGAAAACTTAAACATTCTACTTTCAAGAATAGATACATTATGTGTCTAATACATAACATTTTGTATCTATTCTTGAAAGTCAAAAGATAAAAAAAAAAAAGCCAGTATAGCTTGAGAGAGATATCTCTCGATCTATACGAGCTGTCAGAATGCCGGCAAAAGCCGACATGTGTGTCTGCTTTGCTGTGACTCTCAGACACCCGATATTAAGGTATCGGGTGTCTGAAAAAGGTTAACCCTTTCAGTAATGGATCTCTAGATAGTTAGACATCTATTACTGAAAGGTAACCGCTGATTCTCAGCGGTTAGCAGCCTTCTAGTGCAGCAAATAACTCGTCACGTACAGTGTACGTGACGAGTCATTTGGTCCCTTTGTGGCTGGACGTACAGTGTACGTCTCCCGTCACGAAGGGGTTAAAGTCAAAAGGTTTTTAAGAGATTTGAAATGCTGGTTAAATTATTTACAATGGATGCTGCTACTTAATGTTTAAAAGTTTTAGTTCCCTGTAGAATCAGCTGGTCCCCTAATCACTGGCCCTAGTATCCTGTTTTAGGGTGGCTCCTTTATCTTGCAGGGTCTTATGGAGCCACGATTGTGTGTGTTGGTAAACTATATGTGTCTTCACAAACACTAAGGCAAAGCAAGGCAAGACACTTCCCTTGTTCCCCCTCCCTTCTCCAAGCTAGTAGGTGAACGGTTGCTGGAGACTGTGCTGTCATTTGTGATCTTGAACTGGACAGGAAGATCAGGGAAGCGGAGAAGAGAGAGCTGGAGCCAGCTGTTTGAAAACATGATGACCAAGTGCTTGGGCAAAAATGTTAAAAGCGCTTTTCTGGGCAATGCATATTTGCTAGATCTGGATTCATTATTGAAAAAAAGTTTGAGTGTTTAATACTACTTTAAGTCAATATCACAATGATTACTTAAAACAAGTCTTCACTAAATGTGCGCTAAATGTTTCCTTTTGAAGGCTGATTTACACCTATTTGCTGTGGGAACACACATATTATTGAAACGCAGCTTGCATGCATTGACGCATTGCAGTTCCAATTATTTTAGAGCCAAATGAGAGATGCCCTGTAAAAACGGTCTTAGTTAAGGTATGGGAGGGTAGTGGTCTCTTAAACATGATCGCAGTTGTCAAAATCTGACCCTTGATAGTATTCAAGGCCAAATGTTGATCCAGGGCCATTTGAAGAAGTATTCAGGAGAAAACAGGATTCGTCCCCCATAGACATTTCCTGGGGTAAAAAGATTCATGTCTCGGGATACCAGATCTGAACAATCTGAAAGAGCCCACTGAGCATCTGCCAGGAGTACCAGATCCACCTGGCCCAATTATGGTCTAGCCCTTTTCTTCTGTGGCAGATGAGTACTCTTACCCCTAGTGACATCTTTGATAAGGGTGTTCAAGGCAGCTCTAAAGAGACGTCCACCGAAGGACAGTATACGCATTTTACATGCCTGTTCTCATAGCCTTTGTACAGTCAGCTAGAGTTTGACAAACTAGCATGATGGCCAAGGTAAGATGCAAGGTTTTGGAATGGATCTTTAGTTGTTTTTCGATAGGAACCTTAACCACCTCAGGAAGTATGTCCTTCAACCTGCCATGAAGTAGTTAAAACAAGGTCACAGTCCATTACTCCAAGAGCCACAAAGACTATTAGGAAATTGGGGAACATCCGTTCAGCTCTGTCAAAATACTGGCAGAACAGCTCAGTAAACATCGGATCAAGCACAGTCTGCTTGATGGGCTGTTGAAGAAGGCAGGGAGACCCTAGGAGTCTAATAGCCTGGAAGTAATGTCAGACGTCTGTGGTTCCTCAGGTGTGACATCCTCTGTCCACATCAGGGGATTCCACATCAGAGAGAGACTCAACGACTAAACACTAAGAGGCCACTAGCACATCAAAGAAACATCTTGCAAGGAAGGCATAGAAGTATGTTTGTGATTTGCAGTGAGTCAGCAGGTTGCATTTTGACCCTTAAATTTACACATAACTGCGGTAAGATCCTCTTGGGATAGAACCGAGGAGGAAAGCACCCCGACAGAACTAAGGAAGTGTCTGGCCCATCAGGACGTGCACTTCAAGCAGCACTGGAAATGGTAGTGGATCATGAGCTGTAGGCACCTAGTACAAAGTGGAGACAAAGTGGAACAACTCTCAGAATACAAGACAAAGCCTTGAGTACTCACAAACCAGCTGCTGGTAGTAGAAGTTTCAACAGGAGGTGACCAGGTCAGTGTAAGAGGGCAGCAGGGATCAAATGAGAATAAACAACATGTCATATGTAACAGAAGCAACAGCAGAAAGGTGCTTCCTCAACACTGAATGGCAGTAAAGAAAACGTAGAGCACGCAGACGACACTCCATCCAATGGATGAGGTCATTGTTCAGTCCCTTTCACAGTAAACAAACAGAAAGCGGGAGTTAGTAAATGACGCCCAATGGTTCTACTAACTAGGTAGCTCGCAACTCTTCAGACACAGGGTCACATCTGAGGCTGTGCCACGGATCTGCATCTAACCAACATAGTACACTAAGGTCTGGAAAGCTCTTTAGCGTACTGTGCAAGTTAGACACACATTCATCAGTCCGGAAGGGTCCAGGGTAGAGTCTCCAAAGCTATTGCTAAATAAACTGCATGCTGATCTGGGTAGCTGTGTATAGCAAGACTGTGGTCTTCAATTAGCATTCAAGAAAATTATTTTTCATTAAAACACCTTCCCGCCTCTACGTAAATGCTTTTTTTTGTTTTTTTTAATTACCTTGCCGCAGGTGCCAAAAAAAAATCCCATATGACATCACAGGGGCTGTTGAGGACTTTGTTATTAACAGTGACAGCGGTGCAGGGTGACAACGCTGCAGTTAGTTTGCAGCTGGTAAAATTGCGTTGTCACCTTGCTAGGCCCATGGGCTGCCATAATCACCAGGCATTTATTTTAGGAATTAAAAGGAACTTTCCAAAATATAAAGAGGCACTTTGATATATTGTTATGGGTTCTTTTAAGGCCAGTGCACACCATTGTGCTGTAGTTACATGCCCAATACCACATAAATGTGTTGCAGCATACCACAATGCCCAGTAACACACTGTATTGTAGTGTGCTGTATTATTCAAAATAGTTGAATACTTTTTTTTGGTGCGTTGGGTAGCCCATTTCAATTAATGGACCGTCTTAACGCGTGTGCGCTAATGCAGTGCACTAATGTGCATGGGCCCAACCCTTTGGGTATAGTTATACTTTAAAGCTTATTACAGCCCTTTTAAAGCCTAGTACTATAGCAGCACTAGAAGATGTGGCTAAAGGAGAATGTAGTGTGGCTGAGTAAACACTTAACCTCTCTGAACATCACTATGTATTACACCAAGATCAGACAGCCTAACCTCCATACAGTTGCTATAACAGGATGACTTTAAAATATGAATGCAGCTGCCAGACTCATCCACTTGACCAACAACTCAGTGTGTGCAACCCCCCTCTGTCAATCACTACACTGGCTTCCACTCACCCAGAGGATAAAATTCAAAATATTAACAGTCACTTATAAAGCCATCCACAACTCTGCCCCCGGCTATATCTCAGACCCTGTCTCAAAATATCACCCTAACCGTCCACTCCGCTCTTCCCTAGACCTCCTGCTTTCCAGCTCCCTAGTCAACTCCTCCCATACTCGCCTCCAGGACTTCTCTAGAGTCTCTCCCATCCTCTGGAATTCTTTACCCCAGCCTGTCCATCTATCTCCCACCTTGACTGTCTTTAGGCGTTCCCTAAAGACTCATCTCTTCAGGGAAGCCTATCCCACCTCAACCTAACCACTGAACCATCACGTTCTCAAACAATTCATCCCCACACAGCTACCTCCTTATGTATCATTTCCCCCTCCTCTTTCAGATTGTAAGCCCTCAGGGGCTTACATCTTGTCTTGAATTGTATTGTTATTGTAATGTCTTCCTTACATTGTAAAGCGCTGCGCAAACTGTTGGCGCTATATAAATACTATGTTATTATAATAATAATAATAATAATAATAATAATAATACGATAATCATTTTTAAAATAGAATAAAAACTTCAGAAATTAGAAGAACATGGACAGTGCCAACCATTCCTAACTGCCTCCTTGGCACTAGGATTCACTCACTACAATGCTCAAAGCCCCCAAGCTGTACTTACTTGTAGCCATGATGTCTCTAGGACAGGTCGGAATCCCATGATCGACAGACCACTTAAAAGCGCCATCTCCAACTAAAAAACTGTAAAGCAAAAAAAAACAAGAAATTATAATCGGCTCAGGTGTCCTCTGTTCATTGTTGGAATTAGCCAGGCATTCACATGGCCTGTAAACTACACTACAGGCTCCTCCAATTCTGTACTACCTATTGCACCAAGAAAGGGCCAGGGGAATTGATTTTTCTCTGAAGGAGCACAGGCATGTATACTTTTAATAATGCAGTCCTGCATTATTACAAAAAGTGTCTCTCAAAACATAAGCCACTCTTATGGTTTTTAAATATGTGGAGCTAAAAACTCAGGATCTCGTAGCCTGTATAGTTGCATGCTCAGGTGCAGTAAGTTACACACAACCAGCTTACAAATACTCAAGACATCGGCCAAGTGAGTGGGTACACAGAATTATCGCTGGGATTAAAATAAGATTTAAAGTATAGGGGCTAAAAGCAGTTTGGAAATAGGATATTGCATGTGTTGTCCTTTATTAAGCTTACAATAAAATAAATCAAATATGCAATGTTACAGAAGTCTTGAGATGCCCCGTTCTTTAGGGATTCTATATCTGTGGGAACCTGCGAGAACTAGGAGTTGAAAACGGCTTTTAGCTGGTTAATGCCAGTAGCCAGATTTCAGATTCTCAAGGTTTGAAAGCAGTCCTACAGTTGCTGCCCTCTATGTCCCTCAACTCCCATGTCATAAAGCGCTGAGCAAACTGTTGGCGCTATATAAATCCTGTATAATAATAATAATGTCATGACAAACATTTCTGACACTGACAGTTGTACAAAGTGTTCACAATACAGACTTTTACTTAAATAGATAACATGAAGCGAAATTATTTGAAGTGGACAAAAAGCACAATAAAATAGATCAGAAACACCTTTGCTAAAGCAGACCCGAGCTCTAGGCTCTCTCCTGTGCAGGTCATCGTCCAAATCCTAATAATTAGTTTAGGGCTGCAACCAACTGATCAATTAATCGATAATAACCGATAATGAGAATAGTTGCCAACTATCCTCATTAATAAGTCGGTTGGATCCCCTAGCTCTCTCCTCCATGCTGGGAGGAGGGCACAGTAAGCAGTGGGAGGGTGCAATAGCCATCCTGCTATTGGCTATTGTAATTTGAAATGGCCAATAGCAGGCTGGCTAATACACCAGCCCAATACCTGCTGTATTTACATTCAGCTGTTTTCTGCGGAATCTTGCCACTGGCAACTGTCATTCCCTGGCTGAAGCTATTCAAGCGCCATGTGCTTACAATACAATTATTTATTTATAAATTATAAAAAGTGGGGGGGAAAAAAATCAGAAATTCTGCTGCGGGAGGTGTGTTGCAGTGCCATTCATTTCAATGGCACCCCAAACGCGCCTCCACCCCACAGTGTGACTGCCCGCACTGGAACGCACAATACTGCAATGCTGTGCATTCCAGAGCAGTGCGATTGCAAAAAATTGCGCATCCAATTTTATTCTGAAGTAAACTTTATGTTTGTAACACTCCATTTGTGTATTTTATTTTAAATTAAAGGATGGCATTATAAAAATTAATCGGCCGACTAATCAATTATGAAAATAGTCATTAGTTGCAGCCCTAGATTAGTTTATGAAGGATTAGAATCCAGACAGACAGGATCAGCACCAGAGGTACGGCATACATATCAGCTCTTCACTTATATCTACTCCAGTATAATCTTTAACATCTAACTGTAGGTCCTTCATAATACATGGGTTACCACTGCACAAGTTTTTGCATCTTGTATAGTTTGCCACCAATGACAGCCCCTCAAAAATCTAGTGACTGCCAAATAAGGTTGCTTTAGGTATTCAATGATAATTTCAAATGTTACTAAAACTGAAGTCCAGGAGGAATCAAGGCGCTTTCTTACCTTGTTCAAAAACGTTTTGCATTTCTTTTTAAAGTTCTTTCCTCCCCCTATTTTGTGTCCACTAAACATGGCCCTTATGCCTACTGTCTCTTTGCTTTTCCTGTATGTGTGACCTTGTGCCATTGTTCTCTCCTTATGAGGGAAATAGTCTGTGGTCCCATAACTACCTCTGGGTAGTTTACAGAATAAGGCAGCGACACGCTGACATCATCCTTCCTTCTGTGAGCAGGTCCGATCTCCGCAGCACCCAATCATGACTCATAGCCATTAATTAGATAATTTTGTGGGTGTTCACCTGTAATCAAGAAACAGCCCAAAACAATGCTCAAGTGCACACCCAGCACATCAATGAATTCCCATGGAATCATGGGAAATGTAGTTTATAGTTCTTACACAGAAACGTCGGACGTGACGTACGCCACCTGATTCAATTCCCTTCCCCAGCATCTGAGCACAGTAGGCTGTGCAGAAGCAAGTGATGACGTCAAAGACAGAAAAGGGTTACTTAATAAAAATTTAGGGCATTATTTTGAAACTTGGGGAAAGGGAGCCAAGGTTGAAAATTGGTAATAATGCTGGAGTTCAGCTTTAGTTAAAGATATTTTTTATTTCTCCAAAACACACGGAGAACCCAAATTATCAATTCACCTTTAAATGAGGGCTATTAAGTGCAAGCATTTCCTGGCAATAACTTTCCAAGTTCAGTAGAGATCTATTAAAATTTCATTTAGAAATCAGAACCGGTACACAAAAATTCGGCTGTGGGTAACTGGCACTCCAAAATGATCGTGCAGAAATAGACTATCTCTGTCCAAAACATCTACTGCCAGACATGGCCTGACTGAGTGTAAAAATAACACTCAAAATCAGATTTAGTGATTTATTACTACTGGTATTTAACACGGTTTTCCGTAAATTTGCTCAGACAGAATTTCCTAAAGCAAACTAGAGAGGATGCCTAACATCCCACAGCTGTGTTTACTGGCATTCTAAGTTCTGAAAATGTACTGCACATACCAAAAGCCCTTCTTAAAAAAACACAGATAAATTATCTGTAAAAAACATGGAGAACCAGGATATTAGGCCTCATTGATTGCTGACAACAGAGGTCTGTCATGCTGTTGGCACTGTAACCCTGAGCTGGCATTTTATCCCTTCTGGCATATAAGGGTAGTGATGAAATATAAAGACTGCAGTACTGGCTCTTTCAGAACTATGCTGCTTTTTTTCCAAAAAAATGTGCTGACACTTATTTTCCCTGCTTTACTTACTAAAAGGCTATACAGGTACATCTTAAAGTAACACCAGAAAACAAGTAAACCAACCAGGGAACTGACAATACTATCCACGAAATGCTGCCACTATGGTTCCTTAAAACCGAACTATGGGGTAACCTTTTTATCCAACAGTTCTCTTAAGGGTCATGGGAGGACATATTCTAATGCCCTCCCGTGACCCAAAGCGCAGTATATAGCGAGCTAGTGCTCATTATATACCGAGATCGCCGCAGCCGGGACGGATCCTGACAATGCTGTCGAGATCCACCCAGCTGCGTGACAGCGAACTCTGACTATCTAGAGGCCGAGCCAGCTGTGCCCGCCCCCTCGTCCGTCCGTTCCTCCACTCAGCGCTGGAGGATCGGAGCGGGGAATCCCTGCGATGAGCAGTGACCGACAGTCACCGCACTCTGCATGGAGATGATCGGAAAGTGAGTGAGCGACGGTATGCGTTTGCTCACTTTCCGATCTATAGAGCCGGCCTGTGACAGTTTCATTGTCACAGGTCAGCTCGAACTATGAGGTTGAGTGAAAATCACTCAACCTTATAGTTCTCCTTTAAGCTATTCATAGGGTTTT